TAAAAAAGTTAACCTTTTGTATAACAGATTTCACTGTAGTTTTTAGGAAAAATGTTCTCAAAATCTAATATAAACGTTTGTAAAATAAAATAAAATAAAAATTATAATATWATATTATATATTTTATAACAAGATGGTACTAAAGTAGTTTTGTTGGAAACAGGTGTTGGTGGTAAGGTGAAGGTAGAATATATTGTTTTTATTTTTACAACACGCTTAAGGCGTAAAGTGTGTAAATAAATATTTATAGGTAAGTTAAAGTGTTTCGTAGTAAAAGTTTAAAACAAGAACGAGTACCTATTAGTCTATTACACTTATTTATATTCACATTTAACAGTATTAATGTAAATATTTCAATATTATGTCAGTTATGGTGCCAGGTGTCGTATTATTATCCATCGTGGACATTGGCACATTTGGTGCCATAAAATTTTTATTCAGCCATAATGATTGTGCAGAATTCACAATCTTTGAATAATATTATTAGAATTTATGTAATACATTAATATATTATGAATTTATAAATAAATCAATCTACCACTTTAAAATTGTATAACAACGTAAGACACGTATTTGCAGTCTTAATCTTTATATTGACATAATATATTGTAATAATCTAGCTTTTTTTCTAACGCTAATCGTGTCTTTGAGATTGAAAATTTTTTGYGATCTTTCGCTTTAATAAAATATGATTTATAAACTTTTATTTTATAGGTATTGCGCCGATAAACCCACTTTTATCGACTATAGCCAGACAGCGAGGAATCCCTATACTCGTTATTGGTATGATCTTAACGTTTATGCCAATTTTCAATATAGTCGTAAGACCAGTGACTGGATACATTACCGACCGTTGGCGTTGTCGCAAACAAGTATTTATGTATGCTTCACTGTTGAATGCGTTTGTCACTCTGCTCATACACTTCACTCCCGATTTCAACGACATAGGACTCGCYGAATACTTGGACATCATGACGCATTGGAAATTTTGGATTTTTTTGGTCGTCATAACAGTCAGGATGTTGCTTTGGATGGTAGGAGACGTTCTCCAAGATACGATCTGTTTCGAAATCTTGGGTATAGATTATAAATGCCACATAGAAAAAAAATATATGTAGTTATTGTTTTTCACACTATTATTCACGCACTTTATATACATACATATCATAAAGATCAATCCAGTGATATTATATAATATGATGATGTTTCAAAACTAAAAACGAAATATCTACTTATATGTTCCAGGTGACGACAAAAAGAGTTATGGAAGACAACGGGTTTGGGGAGCTGTTGGTTGGGGAATATCTTCACTGTTGGTCGGCGGATGCGTGGATTGGTACAGCGTGAATAGAGAGCACAAAAACTACTTTCCAGCGTATTTAATAGCTATGRCTTTCCTGCTCTGTCATTTTATTGTTGCATCTCAGCTAGACGTAAGTCTGAAAAAAATAACTTATGGAGCACATGAAAATGTATATAGAATATAGATGCATC